GGAAAGAGGGTTGAGATGAGAACAATTTAATAATAATAATATATGAAAATATATGTATATGAATAATGATAATAATATATACAAACAAGTGATGCACAGTGTAATTGCTCACTGCCCAGTGATCAAGGCCCATCCCGTCCCAGACTAATAATCCCAAAACAGATAAGTCCCAACACCGCAATCCCAGATGAGTGAGAGCCCCGAAAAGAGAGAGAGAGAGCACTCCGAAAGTCTAAGAGTGTGAGCCCCAGAAAGAGCAAAAGCCCTTCTTTCCAGTCAACTCTCATCTATATACTGGGCATGATATGGAATACTTCATTGGCCAATTTAGCCCTCAATCATAAATCTGCGTTCAAATCATAAGGACAGTTGTGGGCCCTTTGTTCCGGCCATGATCTCCCCAGCCTGTTGTGCTCCTGCACACTGGCAAAAACATGGGAAGCTGAAAAGTCCTTGATGTCTTGGTGTCAGCTATAAACATCAGTGAGCTATCAACGTTCTTCTCAGAGTGAATCCCAGACTAAAATCAGAACACAGAGCTCCTCTAGCTGCTAAAAAGAAGAACTAACTCTGTCCCAGCTGAAACCAGGACACATAATGCAGCTCTCTCACCACTACTTCAGTGGTCAAGATGATCCATGATGCCCAATAAAAGCTCAAGCTGTGCCCTCAGCTGCATGCTGTCTGCCTGGTTTGGGGAAGCTGTCTGTCAAACGGTACACATGGAAAGCCCTGAATGGTTCCTGTCATCAGTTCAAAAGCTCAGAGAATGCTTGAGGTGTCTGTGGCTGGAAATCTTAACAATTTTGGAGAAAATTTCAAGGTGGCAGAGTGGAGGGTATATAGAGCTTCTGACAGCTAGTGTGACCACGGCCTCAATCACTGCCCTTCCCGTGTCACAGCTTTAATTTTATGGTATTTCATACTGTGTAAGGAAACATTTTTCTTACCTAAAGGGTGGTAAGCACTTGCCCTAAATGTGAAAGTTGGGTTGTCTTTATTTCCTTGACTAGCACAGCTCTGCAAAACTGTTATTTGTTCTAATATTTTTTTCATTAGCTTTTCAATATATTATTTGGATCTTTTCAATATATCCTTCCAAAATTGGCAAGGCAAGTGATATGAATTGATTAAGCTAATTACAGAGCTGAAAATCTCTCACGAGAATGACTACGGGGTTTCCTTGCTTCTCTCTGCTGTTCACAGTTAAAGCATTATTGCCTTACAAGATTTGGGACAAATTACTTGATCTCTCAACCTCTCTATCAAAATGTGAAGAATATAAAATAACACCTATTTATCTTTCAAGGCAGTCAAGGATTAATTAATGCTTACAAAGTGTCTTGATGTTGAGGAAGCATTTCTAAAACTGACCAGTATTTTATCCAATCACTTTCGCTGTGGCTTAGTTACATTATTTTGTCTGCACATGTGAGAGTTCATAAGTAGATGCTCTGCAAAATATTATGGTTCACATTCCAGAAGGACTCCACGTATCCATATATTGAGTAATAATTTCCTTAGATTTCTGCATGAATGGATTTAGGTGCACGTCTGGATCTGAAAAAAGCCAAGCCTAAAAGAACCTTAGGTGGTAGCAGGTACTTTTCAAAGCCATTGTGTTCAGCTTTATTTTGATGCATGGTTTGAAGCTCATATTCATTGTCTTGCTCTTTTCTCCTTGCAGCCCAGGATGTTGTTGCTGGTACTAGAGGTGCCATTAGTGGAGAACTAATTTCCCTAGAAATTTGGTCCCCAGATGTCCCGGATCTGACACTAATTGATCTTCCTGGAATTGCCAGAGTGGCCGTGGGGGATCAGCCACAAGATATTGGGGAACAGGTAAAACTCTGTCTTATGTGCCAGTCTGTGCCCAGAGTCACTTCTGTAACCTACCTCCTATGCGAGCCTTTGCTGTAGGATGCTGACACTATTATGCTGGACTTCTGAGCCAGCAATAGAGCTATGCTAACAAATAGGCTTATTTTTCAGGCAAGGAGTTGCTGATAGGAACAGTGAGGTCTGGAATCTCCTGTCTGCCCTGTGGTGCAGGAGGGAGCTGCCCATGCTATCCGTGAAGAAGCCACCTCAGGTGCCTTGACACAATCTACCCATGGCACCACGGAATAACAGGGCCATAAGGGTCCTGAACATAGTGCTGCCCCCATGTCCCTTGTCTAGACTGCAGTCTGGAAGATAGATACATCTCAAAATAAGTTGTCTCTTACCAGTTCTGTGGATGTATTTGACAAAGGTGAATAGATCTGAGTTCTTGTAAGCTCTTCTGGAGCAAGGCAGCAAACTGGCCCTCTTACAGGCTCATTGCTCTGTCATCCCTTAACTTACAGAGCTCCTCAGAATCAGATCCGTCCTGGTTTTTCTCGTCCCGTAAGGGATCCCAGCAGACCCTTTTAGAAGTATGTGTTATTAACAGAATATGTGTTAAAGTGGAGATCTCTACTCTTTCTCTGGCTACTTTTAGAATAAATGCTGGGAAATGCAAATAAAACTCTCATTGGACAAGGCCAGCCGTCAGTGATGTGCAGGAGCTGGGTGCCTTGTTTCTCCTAAAATACCTTCAAATAGGAACTTGGAATAAGAGTAGGCCAGACTAAGCTGAACATATCAATAAAAATGAGACAAGATTGGGCTGTCTGGGCTTTACTCTCTGGGAGGAGAGTAATTTCATTTCACGATTAAATAGTAATCTTTCCATTATATTCAGAAGAAAGCAGCATGATCCACACATTTCCGTTGTCCCCAGCTGTCTGCATGCTTCAGAGATGGAGACTATAGCATTGTAGCATGTGTCATGGTTTAACCCCAGCCAGCAGCGAAGCCCTACACAGCTGCTTGCTCACTCCC